TACAGACCTATAATTTTTATTCGACTGCAAGTAAATGTCCCGAGAACAATAGGCATTCTACGCGATGATAACATAAGCTGTTTACCGACCTAAAAAGCTGATCCTAAACTTTAAATCGCCGCACCGTTAGTGCTTGTAAGTTTTTTTTTCCAGACTTAACGTGCTCAAAAACTGAAACAATGCACAAATCTAACACTACACGACGAAAGCTACACATCCTTTGCTGTCTCATTAGTCGTTTACAAAATGGGGGGAGTGTAGGGGGCGCTCTTTTGAGGCGGGGGACGCTTATTTTAAATTTTGGCCGATAGGAGGGGCGCTTATTCGAAGGGGGCTCTTATTCGAGGATTTACGATATTTGTCTTGAATTATAATAAAGTTTACATATAACGCGCTCTCTGATTGGCTGAAACAGCGGCTCTATCAGAGAACACACGCCAGGTAAGCTGAATTTCAAATTTGTGCTTAGGCATTTTGCCAATTGTCTTTTTTTAGATACATATATTTTGACCAAAATTAAACGGTGGCTGTGACTCAGACAAACGCAATGGAAACGAGTTATTTGTCTGCGGTAAACATAGCTGCCTGGAGGCCATTGGTTAGCTCGCTGTGCACTTAAATATGATGATGAGGTGGTTAAAGCAGTGGTATCACCCAAAATAATGCCCAATCATCGGTAAAGAAGGTGCGGAGTAGTAATCAGCGTGATGACGTGCACCTTTTTGCACAATTTTAAAAATCCTGGCGACGTGTAGGCGGTGGTTAGTTTTGGAAAATTGACATGGCTTCGAAGAGTCTGAACCCGTTTCACATAAATGATTCAAAATTTCGCAAAATATTGTTTTCTAGCATGCTCATTAGAATTGGATGAAAAAAATATCGCTTGTTATTGAGTTATAACAGCAAAATTCTTGTACGTCCTAGTAAAAAGCAAAATTAACGGGATGCATTATTGCCCATTATGCCATAAGAAAAACCAAACCTTTTTCATCAATGATTTTACAATAACTGCAGAAATTCTCTCTAGCTCATGGGCTAATTTTCATTGTCAATAAATAGACGGACACATAAATGCGATAATTTATGCGATAATTTCTTTCAAAGAGAAAATTGACGTCCGCTTTTCATGTGTCTGCTATGTTATTGACAATGAATTTCGTCATTACATTGTCAAAGTAGTCTGGGGATCCAGCAACTTTTACTGGGTTGTGACAAAATTCATGACCAGTAACAGGACAGACGCATGAAAAACGGACGTCAAATTAGACATTCTTGTGACACCAGTACCGTAACATCACTTGATAAAGAGTGGTGGTATTGGCCCGTCAAAAAGTGTTGCTGCACTGTAATGGAAACTGTTGTAACGTAAGTAGTTAGTTTAAATCGTAGTTGGGCATGGTCTTTTAAACATTGTTTACGCCGACGACTTTCCCCACTTTAGCACGATATTTATTCCTTTAACTCTGTTTTAGACGTCGACGAATGCTCTACAAACTCTCACGGCTGTGACGTGGATGCTGTGTGCAGTAACACGCGTGGATCTCACACTTGTGCTTGTAAAGCTGGATATTCCGGAGATGGCAGAACTTGCAGTGGTACGTTTGTCCAAAAGTTTTGGCATGCTTCAGTTGTCAGCTTAACTGAGTCATCAAATTAAGACAATGACATGAACCATTAAACTAAACTTATATCTTTATGTATTTATCTTAAATGAAAATAAAGTTTCCATATAACGCGCGGTCTGATTGGCTGAAACAACTGCTTTATCAGAGAAACGATGCTAGGTAAGCTGAATTTGAAATTTCTTCCTCGTAATTTTGACAAATTTGACCAAAATTAACATTGCCTGTGACTCAGACAAACGCAGTGGAAACGGGCTATTTGTCTGAGGTAAATATAGCTGCCTTGAGGCCTTGTTAACAACAGGGTTAAAACTGTACTAAAATAACAAGTTTTGCTAGATTGGGACCAAACGGTAAGTTTAATTACGTAGCACAATAAACAAATTCTCAACCTAACGAATGCTTCGATAAAAAAACTTACTACGAATGCATTATTTATTCGTTAGAATAAAGTCTGTCTTAAGCGTCTATACACTTTTGGTATCATATACTAGGTTTCTTTTCCTCGCCACCTATTGACCTGATAAATTAGTTCATATGCGTAAGAAAATGACGGAATTAGCATCACGACCCTCCGTGATTTAGCCGGATGCTCTAACTACTGAGCCACTGGTAAGCAAGGGTGAAATGTTGGTCTTTGACTGGAACCGCATTGCGCGGTCACACAGCCAAATAATGACTTGGCACATATAGTGAACTAATAACTTAGTCTCCAGTAGCTTAGTTTAGGTTAATGCTGATATTTGATTTTTCTTTTGATTTATTCTAAGATGTCAACGAGTGCAGTGATCCTCTATCTGTCTGTGACGTGAATGCCCGCTGTCAGAATACCCAGGGCTCTTATCGTTGTTCTTGTAAAGCTGGATTTACCGGAGATGGAAAAAGTTGCACTTGTAAGAATATAGTAAATGGTAACCCTGTTTGATTTGACTGGGGAAGGGGTGATAGAGGAGCTAGGGAGTGCAAAAAGAGTGCACGAGGCGTCCAAACCTTAAAGTCGTCTTTACAATGGGATGGGGATATTTATTTTTAATCAAGGGTTTGCGCTCTGAGAAGTAAAAACTACCAGCAGCCATTTATTCGCGCCCTCTGAAACATTTTGCTTTGAGAGCTGTTACAATAACAATAAACAATAGCTTCATTTTTAAAAATTTTATTTATTTATTATTTTTTTTAAATTCGTTTACATAGCGCTATCCCTGCGTTCATGGCGCTCTCAAAGAAATGTATAAAACTATTTATAATAAAGTTTCCATATAACGCGCGCTCTGATTGGCTGAAACAGCGTGCTTTATCAGAGAACAGAGCACGGGTTGATGACGGTAAGTTGGCT